GTAAAAGAGTTGCGAAAGGGCCGCAACCAATTCGTTTTGATTTAACACTCGCACCTCCAGAGTTTGGCGTAGAAGTGAAAATTGTTTTTGGAGATATTGATGGCATTTCAGGAAGACATATAACCCTATAAACTAGCCTCACATGAAAAAGAAAAAATAATTACGACAGAGCAAAATTTGATTCCCATAAAAGTATATAATAAACAGGAATACATTAGAGAAGAAACTTTGAAGTTAACTGAAGAAAGAAGGAAACTGGAACAAACAAGGACAGAAACCAGCAACACAGTGTACAAAAACCACATAAAGAACGTAAGAAATGCGATCAGAGAAGACAAGAAGTAATTTGTAATCAAGGCATGCAACAAAATAGATCATCTCCAGCAAAAGGGAAGAGACGGAACATTGTTCAAAGAGATCAGAACATTAACAACACAATTCAAACCTTCAATGAATGCAGTGAACGATAAAAATGGCAACCCCTTGACAGAGAACAAAGACATACTTGAAAGATGGAAGGAGTATTGTAGAAAAATGTACAACGATTCGAAAAACATGCCAGATAGTAGCGAAGGAAAAGAGCCTGAACCTCTATTAGAGGCAATAAGAATAGCAATCAAGAACCTGAACTCAGGCAAATCTCCGAGATGTGACGACATACCAGCAGAGTTAATTCAGGCTGGAGGAGAAGACAGCGTAATTCTATACCATGCACTATGTGTGAAAATCTGGAACCTTGCTGACTGGCCCGAAGCATTGAAAAGATCAGTCTTTATTCCCCTTCTAAAAAAAAGGAAATCTCAAATTGTGGAACAATTTTCGTACTAGAGATCTAATTAGTCATACCAGCAAAATCCTTCTGCAAATCATTCTGAGGAGGATTGAGAATAAAAATGAAAGGCGTTCCTATGGCATTTTGTGCTCTTTTCCAATGACTGTTTTAGTGTGAAGGCTGCATCAATGCAACTTCTATTTCTTCTTAATCCCATCAGTTCTTCTACCAACCAGATCTATCATGGTCTCAGACTCCTATCAATTATCTTGACATTCAGTTGGCAAACATGACTTTAAAACGGAGTGATGTTTAGGTATTGACTTAATTCTTGTTTTTTTTTTTTTTTAAATTATTCCATAATGGTAATTCCTCTAATATTTGCCGGTCATTTTGCGCAGGTTGTTGTACATGTGCAAAGAATTAAAATTTTGTGAAGCAACCCGATGTTGGATTGTTTCTGCTGGTAATATTTCAGCTTCAGATGACAGGGCTCCGTGAGTCAAAGTAGTTGGGAATCGATGTTAGAATATAGCTTTCTTCTTCCACTCATAACTGCATGTTCTACTTGTTTCGCTAACTTGTAAACATATATTCTGTGTGTTTGTTTACCTTTCTGGCTGTAATAATCTTCTTCTTTAGCCTTGATGACGTTTTCTGTCGACTTGTCATAATAAATAGCAAGCGTCAGTGACTTTCTTTCTTGATACACTACCTTATGTCAGCACCTATCTAAGTTTGTTAATCCTGTTTTTTTATTCATGTACCCATATTCATTGCTTCTAAAATTTAAAAATGTGTATCTCTACATAATTTCGTTTGTGCTCAGGGTTCTGATCTGCTCCGTGGGCTTCAAGTGTTTCGAGTGTTATTTTTGTTTCCTCCAGCTCATGCTAGAAATCTGCTCTATCTTTGTCATTGTAAAGTATATAAGTATTCCTAGTTGTATTGGGTAAGGGGGGGGGGGTGTTGTCTGCGGATTTGCACTAGAACGCATCAGCACTAAGTGAGCAAAAAGGACGTCAAAATAATACGTAATGTTGTCTATGCATCCGGGGATGCCAAGGAAAGCATTCGTGGTATAACGTTGGATCCTTGAGGAAGTTCTACCCCGGGATGCCACGGAAAGCATTCGTTGTTTAAAGTCTGGAAGAGACAGACGTGTGGTGGTGTCTCAGTAGACCCTTGAGGACGCCCTAACCCCGGACTCCATTAGAAACCTCAGCGGAAAGCTGGTACATTGTCTATTGCCCTCGGCGGGAAGCCGGTAAACGTAAGGCGAGTCATTAAGAGGGACACTGCCTTGTTCAGACTGCAGAAGAGGAGATTGATGTGACCGTCCGGACTTCCAAAGTCGGACTGCTACCGTCGTTTGAATTGAAGACGTCGTGTGAATTGATCCGTCAGGATGTACGAGCGGTTGCTTGTGTTGGCGTTTTTGGGTGAGTCTGCACAAGAGTTCGAATATTGCACATTTTATCATTGATCAATTTGTCAAACAATACACCAATTACTTATTCCCCTAGTCTTCAGCGTTAATGGCGTTTGAAAGCCTTTAACATTCATCATGTTCTGGCACACTTGGCCGGTGGCATTATAATTTATCTTATGCCACATTTGTTACATTAACGACGTCCTATTTCATCTTTGGTACTCATCTTTGGTAATTTAAGCTTCTCCTGTAAATGTTTAGACAAAAAAGCGTCTCTACTTGTATGGTCCATTTGATTTATTAGACACCATGTGGTGCCATGCTAGTCTGTGAATTTTAGATTTTTTGATGTGCAAAGATATCGCCTCTAGGAATTCGATATTGATTACCATAGAAGATCAGCAAGCCTCAGGTTCATGATTCTTTTCAGTGTTAACAGAATAGATCTGCTGGCACTTCAAAAGCAAGTGGCAAGTAACTGGGAAATTATTACAGCTGACTATGTAAAAGTTCAGACATTGCAGCCTACCTGAAAGAGATGTCAACAACACTTGTAAAGAGGAATACAGAAAGCAAATAAAGAGAAGAAGAAGAAGAAGAAGAAGAAGAAGAAGAAGAAGAAGAAGAAGAAGAAGAAGAAGAAGAAGAAGAAGAAGAAGAAGAAGAAGAAGAAGAAAGAAGAAGAAGAAGAAGAAGAAGAAGAAGAAGAAGAAGAAGAAGAAGAAGAAGAAGAAGAAGAAGAAGAAGAAGAAGAAGAAGAAGAAAAGAAGAAGAAGAAGAAGAAGAAGAAGAAGAAGAAGAAGAAGAAGAAGAAGAAGAAGAAGAAGAAGAAGAAGAAGAAGAAGAAGAAGAAGAAGAAGAAGAAGAAGAAGAAGAAGAAGAAGAAGAAGAAGAAGAAAGAAGAAGAAGAAGAAGAAGAAGAAGAAGAAGAAGAAGAAAGAAAAAAGAAGAAGAAGAAGAAGAAAAGAAAAGAAGAAGAAGAAGAAGAAGAAGAAGAAGAAGAAGAAGAAGAAGAAGAAGAAGAAGAAGAAGAAGAAAGAAGAAGAAGAAGAAGAAGAAGAAGAAGAAGAAGAAGAAGAAGAAGAAGAGAAGAAGAAGAAGAAGAAGAAGAAGAAGAAGAAGAACGAGGAGGAGGAGGACGAGGAGGAGATAGTGATAATGACAATGACGATGAAAAGGAAGATAAATTACGGAATCAAAAAACAAAGAAGAGAGAAGATATGAGACTTAAGGAAAAAAAAATAAATACGAAGAAAGATGAATAAAGAAAAAAGAAAGAAGACAAAGGAAGAGGAACCAAAAAAAAAAAAAAAAAAAAAAAAAAAGGAGGCATACGCAGAAAGATTAAAGAAGAAAAAGCAGCAGGAAGGCATAGACAAAGAAACAGATTAAAGAGGAAACAGAGGCAGGGCATAGAGAATAAGAAGATTTAATTATACTAATAGAATTAGAAGACAGTCTAAACAACTACACAAACATGGAGTAACCGAGTGAACCAAAACGACATGACATATTACATTGAGCCTAACAACAAGACAGTGTAGGCGCACCACAACACCATAAGCACGCTGAGCTGCATATCAACAAATATTTACTAATTTACTGATTTGTGAAAGCAGAAGTCTAAAAACAACAAATCTTTGAAATTAGTGATCATTTTTATTGTGTTTATTTAATTGTAATATAAAGTTTCTAAAAGATGGAATGTCATGTGGGAAAACATTAATAGACATAAATATTGAAACAATGTAGTTATCGCAAACTTGAGATGTGTCGCAGTCATAAAGAAATAAAAACTGTTACAGTTTGTTATTTTAAAAACAAAGTCCACTGACTGGTCAGAAAAGTTTGTCCTGGTTTCAGATAGGCTCTTGGTCACATGGTGGTACTTGAGACATGTTCTAGTGTCTTTGTTGTTTCTTATTTTAAACAATAATCATTTATAGCTTAGCTAGTGTTTTCTTTGTTGCTGCCTGTGGAAATTCTTTCCGTCCTGTTTATGTTCAATCTTAACTGTCTGACGAATAGAATGATGTTTAGAAAGTCGTGATGGCTAACATGCTTACATCAAACAAGCTGTGGGCGCTTGATTAATGTTAGAAGTCGCAGTGCCTCGTGTTTGTTTTTGTTTTCTAAATGAACTAAAATGCTAAGATTTTTTTGACACATTTTTTTTTTTGGCAGGCTCGTTTTCCTTTATCTTCTGGGACCTTTCTAGACAGTGCAAGCTCTGGAAGATACTATTATCGTATACAAATATTTTAAAGTATATACTAACCAGAGTGCCTGTAACAAATTTATAGTATACAATTTTGGTTTAAACACTAAAAATTTTGCGATGCTTTTTAAGCCCTAATAACTTCCCATTCGGTGCCGTGCTATGTTTAACATAGACAGCTCAAAGATGCACAAATTTCAAAACAATATTTGCCGAAATAATTTGCAGACGGCGACGTAATCTTCTATAGTTATATAACAGTGTATATGTTGTTATAATTGCAGCAATGATTACACATACACACAATAATTTATTCTATTCTGTATCCACATAAAAAATATATTAGCTACGCCACATAAAATAATTATAATTATAATAATAATAATTTGCTTACTACATTCTACATAGATTTTGTCATGTCCAACGGACACGTAGTATTCACGAAAGAGCACGCACATTTCCAGCCTATGTGTACATAATGTATCTTTTGTCAATTTTTTTGTGTACATAACGTAGAACGTTTACACCTTGTACATAGTGTACTGATGACCGCTGTTAATGTGCATGATTTCTTGGTCCTATTTGTCCTGGCTACTGGAATCCAGCTTTGCGAAGTAGTTTACGCAGAATTCTACACCGGCGGTAGGGACAACTATGAAGCCAAACGTCTGGGCTTCAACAGTGACGTCACCGGTGTGGGCTTTGGCCGTCAGTGCGGGCAGCTCGTTGCCGGTCATGACTAGCTTGTTGCCGTTCAATTTCACGGATCTGCCGGTACAAGAAACATCATCATCAAAAAACTGCATGAAATTGAATTGTCATCTTATACAACATGGGGCCATATCGGATAAACTATAACTGTTAAGCATCAAGGGTCTAGCTTTCAGTATAAAAAATGAAACAATGTTTATACAACTACAACCATAATAATGGAGAGTATACTGTATTACATATGTTATTGTGATTAATCAAAACGTGTTTTTGATCGACAGGTATTTACTTTAGAATTATAAATAAATGTTAGCACTATAAATAACATTTTCTTATAAACATCTCTTATAGTACGGCATTTTTTCTGGAGTTGACAAAATTCATTTTGAGCTGAATTGTTTTTCCTGACACATGACAAAGCTAAAACAGTCCTGCAGAAAACGCATTGGTTGTATCGTTACATATAATATTTCGAATTAAAGAGAAATGAATACAGAAAACATCTAAGCTATGAAAGTGATCAGTACTGCAATACATATATATTAAAATAACAACAAGTTCAAGTAGACATTTATGATGATTTTTGTAGACAAGAACTGTTGTCATTCAACAGGCAGTATTGTAACAGAAAACATTGCTACCCGTTTCTAGGAATCTGCATGCCTTCTCTATGCAATTATGCACCAGCTAGTCTTTATTTGAGACAATTAATCTAAATACTTTAAACGTTATCACGATTTTTTTGTGACTAGTCATATTTCACAGAAACCGAATGCCTGACACATGAATGAAACAGCGACAATCCTATTAAAATAGTTAAACCTCACCTAAACCCACATATATCGGCAATAGGCTCAAACTTGCATTAAAAATCTGTTACTATCTCGCTCACATTCATAATCGAAACCAATAATATGGGCAGTTCTAGGCCTTTTCCTGTAACCTTTAATCTTACTGACTTTAATTACAAACAAATCAAAACTTAATCATACCACTTTTTTAATGCTTGAAAAACGAAAATGCATTTTTTCGCTGATTCTAGTTTTCCATAACAGTATAATACAAACTCATGTTCCTAACAAACGAAACAATATTACAGCGTCAATGGCTAGAGCCACTTAAGAGGCGGTGTATCTGAACGAGATGGATTATGTGGCGATATGTCCTTTAAAAAAAATGCAGAGTTCGTTTTGAAACGGCATTTATGCAACAGAAACAGTAAAGGTATTACATTCCAAAATTTAAATAATGTGAACGTTACATTTTACGTTTTTGAGTATATTTTTTTTTTTTTTTTTTGTTTTGGTTACCTAAACATGGTGAGTATAAACACACCACCACCCAAAGAGGTGTAAGCTTTATGCGTATATTATTAAAATTAACTTAATGTTCCTGTGAAATATAGCTTAGTCCTTTCAGAAATAACTTCTCCAGTGTATAAATAAACGTGGTCTGTTGCGAAGCCATGAATAGAGATAAGGTGGACCAAGGATGTTTCACTTGCACTGTAGTTGTATTATCAGTGTTGTTATTTTTCATATTTAGGGGTTTTTTGATTATGTTTGTTTTTATTTCAACTGCAGTAGAAAACGAAGAAAAAAACAAATGTCGAGGATGCTAATATTGATGTAATGAAAATAATAGTGATGACGATAAGGAAATGTGAAGATGTAACCAACACAAAGAGTAAACTGGCGTAAGGAAAACTATCGACAAACACACACACTCTAAAATTAATGAGAATTTTGATTAAAACGAATACATAAAATAACAGAAAGGATAAAAGAAACATGGAAACACAATATTAAATCCCTTTACAGCACCACAAACGAATAAGTAGTAGAGCATAGCAAATGATGTGGACTGATAAATATATACATATACACGTTCGCACCAATATTAAAGATACACTGAAAAGATGTCTGAGTGGATTTTAACGAACATGTGAATAGACTGGCACTAACATACCATTTGGATTGTCAGTCTATGGAAAAAAAGGGCTGAATATCAAATGTGAGACACTCTTTGAAAATGCCGTTATAAATTATATCTTTTAAGACAGATGGGCAAACTGTTAGTCAAAGAGATATCTCAGCAATATCTATAGAAGACAGATGGACAAACTGCTAGTCGAACAATATCTCAGCAATATATATAGAAGACAGATGGACAAACTGCTAGTCGAACGATATCTCAGCATTATCTATAGAAGACAGATGAAGAATCTGCTAGTCGAACGATATCTCAGTAATATCTATAGAAGACAGATAGCATCGTCAGATAGAATTATTGAGTAAATCATCAATCTGTAGGGGCCACTCTACAGCGAGTTTGCAGACAACAACAAAATTGTTGGCAGGGCAACATGGGAATCATGCTGGAAACTGCTGTGCGGCGCTTATGCCTCTCCACAATCTGGATCTGTATTAGTTCGCGTGTTGACACCACCAATACCATGACACAAGACTATCAATAATCTTTTTTATGCTGTCTTCCTCTGTCTCTTTTCCCATAGTCTGTGGTCAAAACATGTTCCATTTTCCCCCTTCTCATAACATGACCAAAAGTGGTGAAAGTCTCTTTTCCTGATGTTTGTGATAAGTTGTCTTTGAGTATTCGCCTCTACAAAACATCTAGGTTGCTCTCTTCATTTGTTCAAGGAATTCTAAGGATTCTTCTGTAAAACCACATATCTACGACCGTTAGATATTGTTCGGCTTGTTAATAAATCTGCCATACAATTTGTAAATAATATATACAATGCCCTTAATTTTCTAAGATCACAGTTTATGTCTCGTAACACTAAGATCCAAATATTTAAAACGCGGATAAGACCACTTGTTTTTTATGGCTCTGTAATTTGGAGCATAGCTAAAAGAGATGAAGCCTTACTATAACTTTTCAGAAACAGACAAATCTTTGGACCCACCAAAGATACAAACATCGGGGAATGGAAAGTGAAAAGCAACAACAAAACTCATAATCTAGTTACATAACCACAGATCACTGGCATCATGATAGCTAATAGACTTACACGGCTGGGGTATATCAGAGAGAATGTTAGACGACAGAGAGGTAAACAGGGTATACATAACGGAGCTTGATAGACTTACATGGCTGAGGCATATTGAGAGAATGTTAGACGACGTATACATAAAGTAGCTGAATGGTCGTAGACTACGAGGTAGACCGAGAAGACGATGGGGAGATAATGTCCAGACAGACCTATAAACACGTGGGGTCACCAACTAGAAAGAGAAGGCCAACCAGAGACATGAGTGGTGCGGGGCAATATCTGCAGCAATGGACCTTAAGGGCTCCGAATGCTGAAGAAAAAAAGAAGAAGAGGCGATTAGGCATAAACTTATTGTTTGAATTTAAAAAATAAAATTACATAACAGAAAAGTACTGCGCAAAGAAAAAATAACAAACAGAAACACGTGAAATGAGAGAGATTGTTAAACAAGGATTGTTTTGCCACCTCTATTATTATTGATGATATAATCAGTATTGTAAATACAACAATTACCATAACAGACTAAAAGACAAAATTAAATAATAATCCCTATTGCCTTGTAAAAGTTCGTAAATAGTGTTAACTTTACACTATCAGTCATCCAATAATATTTTAATCTGACGAGTGCACAAAGACACGAGGTGGTCGGGCATTTCTGTAGTAAAGGTTAAAATCAGCCGGCGTAAGAGACAGTGTTATTTGATCAAAAGTAATTAGACATTTTAAATTACCTGGATAGCAGTCCCTCATCCCCACCTGATAGCATGTAGAGGTCCAGGTTAGCGTCAGGAAACTGGGACAGGGACAGGACAGCATCTGTGTCTGCCACGTTCAGATAGTAGACGACCAACGCTCCTGGGCTGTATCTGTGGAAGAAACGTGTTGCGGATCACTCTGATGTGGATGTGTGTAGTTGTAGTGATTTTCATTCATACTATGTTTTCGACGTTTTAGTTTGTAGTTCGTAGATGACGAAACCATACGTTGAAGATAAACTGGATGATTACCAATCGGGTCTTCAAGAGAAAATACGAACAAAAGATCAGATAACAATTTTACGGCAAACAGCAGAGCAAAATTTGAAACATAGAAGGGACGTACATAATTTGTATGTGGATATTTATGATAGTATACATAGAAACAGTTTATTGAATGCTACATTAGAGTTTAATCAACATGCCGTAACTGTGTATGGAAGACACCTATATGTGTTGTATGGCAAGGTGATTATCTGTCTCTACTTCTTTTCAACTTTCTACTTAGCCCTGGAGAAAATTTTAAGGGAATTGAACAAATAGTGTACTTTAGGGGAAACTACAAACATACTTGGTTAAACAGATGACACTGATATTGTTAGAGAAACGAACTAGAGACTGTTAAAAACACAGAATCTCTAAAAGAATCAGCTCATAAAATGGGACTATTTATCCGTTAAGATGAAACAGAAGAAATGATAATAACATGACAGAAAAATGATAGAAACTCAGACCACATACAAGTCAATATATTAAAATCAAACGAACAGAAACATATAAGTATTTGGGTGTAAATTCCAACTGTTCCAACATGCTGAGAAAATAAATACAATCTAGAATACAATCTGGAAATTAAGTATACGACGTTCTTCAAAAATCTGCTAAAGTCAAGTCTCTATCTCGCAAAACCAAGATCAAAATAAATTAAAACGGTGATAGGACCAGTCGTTTTGTATGGCTCTGAAACCTAAAGCACAGCTATAAGAGATGAAGCCTTAATATTTCGGACGAATCTTTGGACACATCAAAGATACTGTGAATGGGGAGTCAGATGCAACAACGAAATTCGTAATGTGCTTAAATAGTCATTGATCTTTGGAATCATGATGACTGAAAAATGGCTTGGGTATATTGGGAGAATATTCAGGTGAAAAACAGGTGAAAACAGTTTGATCTGAATGGTTGTAGGTCACGAGATAGATCAAGAAGACAAGAGGGAGATAATACCCATGTAGACCTTCAAGCACTTGGTGTCACAAACTGGAAAGAGAAGGCCAATCAGAAACATGAATGGAGGCTAGTGATATCTGCAGCAATGAACCTCAATAGCTCGGAACGCTGACGAAGAAGAAAAAGAAGAAGAAGAATAGTAAGAAGAAGAAGTTAATGACGATTCTATTCGTATTCAGATAGGAACTACACTATAGCTCACTGGAATTCACATAAACATTTTGTTATTATACTGGATAACCAGCTCATAATTCCATTTCCGATAATACTAGCAGCAGTCTAATTGCATGTCGGTCTTGTAGTTTCCCCTGGGTCATTTCTGGCGTCCAGAACCCCTGGTCACTTCCTGCTGTACCATTTTCTTTGATTTGATGATTCAATTTAGCTTCACAGGCTTCAAACAGGTCTCGGTAACAGCTCTCTTGTTAAGCAATATTTGCCACCAGCAGCATATTCAGCCAGTTTGCCCAACTGTTCGTTTCACAAAACAGCTATTTGCCTGTAGATAATATTTAAAGGACGCGAACAACCATGGAACTCAGACGCGATGCTTGCCACTCGGTACCTGTCTCTGCAATTCGTAAGCAGGCATTTGTAAGCCTTTTACTATCATGATGTGTGTGTGTGTATGATTGTGTGTGTAGATGTGCATGTGTGTGCAGCTGGTTGTCAAGGCCGTGAAAGACTGCAATCACTGCTTCCACATCGATTCTTAAACTACAGGTTGTGTTAGAATATGTCAGACTGTGTTGCAGTAAGTGTCATTTATTTAATTGTGTTAATCTTGTGAGTTTGTCACACGTTATCGGCATACATGTAACCATGAAACAGGTCAGTATACGGAAGGATATTTATTTTCTATCATGTAAATGTGTTTATGTATTCGTCATTTATTTACGTTTTAAACTGTTCATGCTGTTTTGATAGTCATAACGAAGACTATGAGTTCATAAACGTGAATGTTACCTCCTGTTACTGGCACAGTTGGCATACAGTCGCAGCTTGTCGTTCTTTGTCCCCACCGTGACGTCAAACACAGGTCCCTCCACCAGCGTTTTGAAGACGAGAGACAGGTAGTAGTCCTGTAATAAAGGACACCGGTTACTGGCACGTTTGCTTTGTAAATATGATAAACAATTCTATACGTATATGTGTGTGGTGTGTATGTCTGTGTGTGTATATATATGTATGTGTGTGTGTATGTGTGATTCTGTACATCTGTATATATATATAATATGTTTAACGGAGTTCGTGGACTAAGCTTCAGTAAGGTCGCATGACCAGAAGAGACCATCATAATTACATAAATGAGTGTTTCCAGCGCCCTTTCTCCCCCTTCCCCCACCACGCCCTCAAAAATAGCTTTGACCCCACATATTGAAAATTAAAGTTTACAAATCGGTCAAATAAACAGGGAACACAGGACCGCGATAAAACAATGACCTACACAGATTCTGCAACATTTATATCCCCCCCACCCCGACCCCCCCCCCCCCCCTCGTTGTTGCGACTTGAAAGAATACTTCATGAATGGCATCATGTATTGAATACCAACAGGTTAAATCCAACATACCTCGTTCAAACTGAAGGAAGTTATAATGAGGGCATCAGTAACAGTTAAACCAGCTACCACCTTACTGTGTCTTGAGAGCTTGAGGATATCCCAACTGGTCCTAGAATACACAGCTCATTTAGTTATCCATCTACATAAAACGTATGAGTACTTACAGGGTTAGGATCAAATGAAGAAGTCACGAGTCCATATGATGCACCTATTAATGCCTGGCGAAATATTCTTGTAGCTTTCATCTTGGCGGAAAGTCCCAGTTTATCCAACCACCTGTTGGGGTGGGAGTTTGATAAATAAGGGTGTGGGATATGGAGTTGGGGTATGCAACACATTAGTGAATAATACAGACTACGTTCCACAGAAATAACAGATTTTATTAGCAGAGAAAAGATTTGTGATAAACTATGTGGACACGTTAAAGGCATTTTTGATGGAAGTTTGAGGAGAACAAGAGATATAGTCTGCAAAGATAAGGATATAAGAAACATAAACCGCATTGTTTGGAAATCGTAATAATTATCTCATACACACTCACACAAAAATTAATAAATAAATGCTGAGATTGGGTAAAGAGCAGTTTGAGAAAGGTTTTAACCAGAAAGTGAGGCTAAGCCGGTTGGAGATTCATTACAAGAAGCTTTTATTGTTGAGATAGCGCCAAGAAAAGAACAAGGAGACATCATATACTTCCACCCCATTAGCAGCTATGACACTCTTATAAAAACCTTATTGGAGGGGTACAGTATAGGAGCAGGCGAGCAAGAGACAGGCTGCAACTTAAGTATGAGAATAATATCAAGAGATGGGTGGACATCTGAGAGGGTGTAGTGTCAGAGAGAGAAAGAGAGAGAGAGAGAGAGAGAGAGAGAGAGAGAGAGAGAGAGAACGCGAGAGAGGGAGTGCGATTTGAAGATTCTTTGCAGCAAACTTTCATTGTGGGGATGTAACCTCATTTATTGAACAGAAGACACTGTGACACATAGCTGTAGGAAGACAGACAGCAGGCCTGTATGCCTTAATCAGGCCACATTATACAACATTCCATCACAGATAATTCAGTTTTCCCAATATTTACAACTCAACAGAACACTTTCCTTGATTGTACCTATGTTTCATTAATATGCTAATATATGTAGGAGTGCTGAGCTGAAAAAAACTGACATCACAACCTTCGAGATATTACCATAGGCGACTCATCTTCAGCTGCAAGAAAAGAGTTCCCGTTTTGCTGATGCTAATAGCAGGTTTATTATATCAGTCCTGCCTTTCCCTTGAATGTAGACTGCCGAGCTGATCTCTTGGTACTTCTATCAATTCTCTTTAAGCCTAGTGGCACGTGAGGCTTCAGAGAGGACTTTTCATGCGTTCCTGTCCTGTGCAATCTTCAGTGCAGTTTTACATGTCGAAGATGCCGCAATGAGGTCACTCTCCATCGTTCATCTCCATGTGGTTTTTAGGCGTCTTTTTTTTTTCTCTTTTCTTCTGGTATCCATGTGAGAGCTGCTTTGGCAGGCATATCAGGATTCATGCTCATAACGTGGTCAAGCCACGTCCATCTTCTCTTGGTTATCATACTTGGCACTCCTAGCTGAACCATTATCTCCAGGCAATAGTGATATATTCGTGCCCCCCACATTGTTCACTTGATGTCAACGGGTCCTCCTGTTCACATCTAGCTTGCCAAACATCGTCTGACCACCCAGTGTGGGGAAACCTTAAATTGTTCCCGTCTGATCATTTCCTAGCACTTCAGCATACCTCGGAGAAAATCTGGAAAGTAGGCTAATTACCGGGAACCTCTGAAACGATGCTTGCCATTTTGCACAGAGCATGCCACCTTTCCCGGCATGCTTTGTGGGTCGGTTGCTATTGCTGTAGATATATAAACTATGAGCAATGAATAACAAAAAGAGAGGGATTGGCCGGCTCACTACAATCAGAGGAAAGGCAAGACGGACATATGAGCAGATTACGACCGGTACCATTAGTATTGGAACTCTGCGCTGACTGCTAAAGATACGGACAAAGCCTCAAGTGCTGTGATGTCAATTCTTGACAAAGGGATACAAACAAGTTACCTAAGTAACTACGTGACTACGGTGAGCTTTCTGCGGCCATGAAACAGAGACAATGTAAGGAGAAAATATTCGCATTTCAGTTGAATTTACTCAGTTTTGTGCTTTATTTTACGTTGATGTAACTATGTAGAAACGCATCTGATGAGATACAACGAAATATGCTCGGCAATAAATTGTGCCATGTATTGTTTGCATCCGCATTGATTAACATAAAGATGTTGATGTAAAGAATGTAGACTACTTTTGATATGGGCAATTATTTGTCTTTATGAGTCACTTTTAAGAAGCCACGAACAAACAATTTTTTTTAAATCTGTCCACCGGACTTAAATCTTTCCATGAACAAACATGTCAAACAAGTTACATAAAGCTTGACATGAATAACCACAGGTCAAACACATACAAGAAGTATATTTTCTTTGTAACAAGCAACAGGTCTTTTTTTCTGCTACAAGAAGCCATGTTTGACATTCCGTTTCAATTATCTCCAACATTTCTTGTAGCTGCGCTTCTTTTTCACGATCAGAAGCCTGTGAAAAACACACGGGTAACAAACACAAGAAGCCTGCTGAAAAAACAACGGGTCAAACACTTACAAGAAGCCATGAAAAAACAACAGGTCAAAAATTTACAAAATGCCATGAACAACAACATGTCAAACAATTACAAGAAGCCATGAACAACAACAGATCAAACACTTAAAAGAAACCATGAACAACAGGTGAAACAATTACAAGAAGCCATGAACAACAACAGGTCAAACACTTACAAGAAGCCATGAACAACAACAGGTCAAACACTTACAAGAAGCCATGAACAACAACAGATCAAACACTTACAAGAAGCCATGAAAAACAACAGATCAAACACTTACAAGAAGCCATGAACAACAACAGGTCAAACACTTACAAGAAGACATGAAAAACAACAGATCAAACACAAGAAGCCATGAAAAACAACAGGTCAAACACTTACAAGAAGCCATGAAAAACAACAGGTCAAACACTTACAAGAAGCCATAAACATCAACAGATCAAACACTTACAAGAAGCCACCCGCGTAAGCATCAGACATGCCGACGGTACCACCTCCATAGCTTGCGGCTGTTTCCGTCAGCTGGACGGGCCTAGGTCGAGGGGTGGCGTTAGTTATTTGTGTGGTTGCCTGGTACAACAGCTTCAGTCTATCCATGTGAGTAGTGCTGAGATAATCGGCTAGTTTTGCATCTCTCCCGCCAAAGTAGTAGCTGTTGAATACAGAGGCTGTAGTATGAGCACTGATACAATTGGTACAATGAGGTTTAGGTTTAGATGACGAACTAACATCATGGTACAATGTAGTGACCCATAAATGCTCAATTCTACTTCTGACTCAAGCCTGAGTCCAATGATTCTTAGCGCATTGCACGAACTCCCTAGCACCGACTAGGATCCTGAAATACTTTAGGTAGATTTTGAACTCTAAATTTTGTCCGTGCAGCGCCGGTAGGCTTCTCTCTTTCGATTTCCAACTGCCAATGGATGTTGTTGCTTACTTAACAAAACACACGGGTGTCCTGTTTTACTACCCAGAGACCAGTGGAAATTACTGGAAGTCCACGTGAAAAAATTCCAGCCTTCACCGGAGCTTGAACCCGGGACCTCTAGCACTCGAGGTGGACGCCATGCATCGAGACCACGCAGCGCTCTATGGGCAGTGATTGTCTAGCAAAGCTGAGTCAATGGCTAATTTCAGACCAGACCCTGAGAGGAAATACGGTGCTTGTCTCACTCACTGTTTATAGACCAGTCAGCATCCTATTGGTAGAGTGGTCAAAATAACACACAACGGGACGATTCCTGGCAAGTAGTTAGGCTGGGTCGAACAGGAAAAATAAAAATATGCCTAGATACGAATACGAACATATAACCACCTGACAGCCACTGTTTTACCTTAACTTCTTAATGTTGGAAAGACTATGGCTAGCTAAGTATGTAAAGCTGTGTGCTAAAAACTATATTTCAGTGAACCTTTCTAGTTAGGCTAATATATATATATATATATATATATATATATATATATATATATATATATATATATATATATATATATATATATAGACGCACACATACACAGTAGTACATATATGTGTGTGTGTGTGTGCTTGCGTGTGTGAATGAACTGTGCAATGATATCTGCAAGGTCGAGAACGCTAAAACTATGAATAAACCAATGTCCCGTCAGTTATTACTCTGCAACTGACACGTGTCTCCAAAATAGCCGGTCAAGTGACGTCTCCATAAAGAAGGTTGGCTGTAACAGATCTCCAGCCTCTTCGATCTTCGCCTTATTGTTACACTTTCAGAATGCTGTCCGTCTACCTCCTAATGTTATCCCGAGTTAACGTTTTTAATAGTTCCATCCCTGACACAACTCAAAATACCACTCATGCAAAACCCCATCTTCATATTTTCTCCATTGGCATTTGAGGCATTAAGGGTATAAAAAACCATTAGGTCTAATATGGGCTACGTATATAGCTACTCATATATGCATGTGTTCTATTCTCGAGCGCATTCGATTAGTGTAACGGCTAATCGCAAGTGGGCAGTTTGGAAGGGCGTGGGTTCAGAATGTGACCGTACAAGAGTGATTTTTTTTTTTTACTTGAATAGCCCTCTCTCATGAGGACCCAGCTATGAGTGAGTACCAGGAATGGTCCTGGAAAGTGACGACGGCCTGCGTGATGTGACCACCCACCCAGCAATATTTGTATTTGTATAGGTTTATCCCCATATGCCTGATACGCCTGAAGACGTGGAGAAGGGTGCTTGACATTTCTAAAGAAAATAGACTAGCTGAAAACTTACAACGCCGGCTATCATGCGGGGAACTCAGATTCGATCCTTCGTAAGGGATGGGGACTTTTTTTTCTGTCGCGGGGAAAACCTAAGCTGCTCAGAAATGACAAATATTCGGGCGACATAAAAAGAAATGGTGTAGAGTTTATGCTCCACTGTGGATACATCGCAACAGACGACGACGCCGACGAAGAAGAAGAAGCAGAAGTAGAAGAAGAAGAAAAAGAAGAAGAAGAAGAAGAAGAAGAAGAAGAAGAAGAAGAAGAAGAAGAAGAAGAAGAAGAAGAAGAAGAAGAAGAAGAAGAAGAAGAAGAAGAAGAAGAAGAAGAAGAAGAAGAAGAAGAAGAAGAAGAAGAGGAAGAAGAAGAAGAAAAAGAAAGAAGAAGAAGAAGAAGAAGAAGAAGAAGAAGAAGAAGAAGAAGAAGAAGAAGAAGAAAAAAAAAAAAGAAGAAGAAGAAGAAGAAGAAGAAGAAGAAGAAGAAGAAGAAGAAGAAGAAGAAGAAGAAGAAGAAGAAGAAGAAGAAGAAAAAGAAGAAGAAAAAGAAAAGAAGAAGAAGAAGAAAAAGAAGAAGAAGAAAAGAAGAAGAAAAAGAAGAAGCAGAAAAAGAAGAAGAAGAAGAAAAAGAAGAAGAAGGAGAAGGAGGAGGAGGAGAAGAAGAAGAAGAAGAAGAAGAAGAAGAAGAAGAAGAAGAAGAAGAAGAAGAAGAAGAAGAAGAAGAAGAAGAAGAAGAAGAAAAAAGAAGAAGAAGAAGAAGATGTAAATGGTGATGACTGTGGTGATGCTAAAAATAGGTAATAACTTAAGGGGATTGAGTGGTTGCCAGAACTGGGTACGTCCCCCGATAGAGAGACATGAAATCGACGTGAGAATAGCAAAACACGAGATTGTCAAGCTCACCTGGAAACACGAGGTCTGGAAGAATAGCTGACTAGGAAGACATTTTGTGACATAACCCCAGAGAGATAGGAGCGAAATTTGATTCGAGTGAAACAAAATGAGCGTTGATCTTGAATAGCAAGGAGTGCAAGCTGTGAAATGGTTGTAGCAAAGCCACTTGGAAGTATAGCTGAGAATAATGGAAGTGTCGTACTGACTGTTGATTGTGCCAACTGTATGTCTGTCAGCGTCGACCGTGGCCTGGCTGTGTACCCAAAGTGCGAGCAATTGAGCCCTGCCTGGATGACGTGAGTAAGTTTGTAATGTTGATTCTTGTCGCTTATAAGATGTTGAATGATACTGAAAAGACATGGAACTGACAATATCCATCGTCGACTGTCATTAGGAGATATATGTTCGTTTGTTGGACGAGAAGTCTGCATTGTCTAACCTGTGAGTCTTACCCCTAGATAACAGCATTGAATACGAGCGAAAGCAGCAGCGAAAGAGACACAATACAATGATGACGATTAACAAAGAATTGTATGAGAAAATTGAGGCCAGTATTTCACTTACTGATGAAGACAGATCTCGTCGATGACGTCATATGCTCCAGCATTGAGGAACCTGCATGGAAAAAAAAATGTACGATCAGGCAGGAAAAAAAAAGATTCACTGCTCCACCCCTCCCCTCCCCAACCCAACAAGCATATCTTAAAATTAAACTATTTAGAGGTGTACATCTGCCAGAGAGGTCGAAACAACCCTTCCCTCAAGCCAAGAAGCTGACAAATAACCATAACTTTCAGTCCGAAGCTACAATCTGTGAACGCAAAGAAGAAGAAGAAATCTCTTGTACACCCAAGCTCTAACATTTTAATCCAGACTGCTTGATTTAGAACATGGAAATTTTTCTTGGCTCCCAGCTCGACATAGAATACAATGGCTACCATGTAATGCTATGGGAAGTAAAGGGTCTTTCGTTCCATTCATCTTTAAGGTGGATCTTTTTAATTACCCAGGGGTGAAACTGGTAGTAGGAATTATCTTCTGAAGTAAAGGAAACAGGCGTCATGTTAAGCATATCGGAAATCCAGAGGCGACTGGCCATACTAACTAAGATTCTCACGGCCTTATCGTTTTGATAAGAGTTATCAAAAAGAACACAACTGATTACACAAATAGTATTGCCTGAGAAATGTAGAGCACAAGTGTTGTCATTAGCACATGAGGGAATAACTGCGAGACGTATAGGGGGTGACTAAAGCAAAACATACAATACATGTGAACGAAATGTTTTAGCACTGGTTGTCAGTTTTAAAAATTTCCATAAATTTATGTTAGGCAAATTACTTACTATTCTTACAGACAACCATTGATTAACAAAAATTACTTACGATAGATGCAAGTATACAGATGAGCTTTGTTAATCTTCTAGTTCAAAGTTTACTACTGAACGTATCAAAGGTACTGACAATTATCTTCCCATCACTTTAAAGAACAACAAAGCACCAGGCAAAGACGAACTGCCAGCAGAACTTCTCAAAGTAGATCCTAACACAACTGCTGACATTCTAGAACCATTGTTCAAGGATATTTGGGAAAATAAAGTGTTGCCTGATGACTGGACTGAAGGAACAAAAGTCAAAATCCCTAAAAAAGGAGATTATAACAGACTGCATTAATTGGAGGGAAATTACTCTACTCTCAGTACCAAGTAAAATATTTTGCAAAATCATCATAATGCGGCTTGAAAAAGGAGTAGATAAATGCCTACGAGTGGAACGAGCAGGATTCAGAAAGAGCAGAGGAACAACTGAGCACATCTTCACCCTACGTAACATTTTATAACAATGCAAAGAATGGCAGACAAGTATCTATATTAATTTTGTGGACTTTGAGAAAGCTTTTGACAGCGTCCATAGAGACAGTCTCTGGAAAATTGTACGATGGAATTCCAGAAAAAGATAGTCAACATAATTGCTCTCTTCAATATAGACTTTTTCTGCAGTATTAAAAAATAACATCTTTCACAGTAAAGACAGGCGTAAGACAGGGATGTGTCATGTCATCTCTCCTCTTCAACCTTGTGATTGATTGGATACTAAAGAAACACAGTAGACAAGACATTTAAAGGCATACGGTGTACTCTATTCACCATGCTTGAGGACCTTGATTTTGCAGATGATATAGCACTGCTATCACATAAACGTGAAGATATACAACAGTAACGGACTACACAACACAGCAGAAATGGTGGGACTGAGAATTAATACAAAGAAAACTAAGATCACGACAAACAGTCCAAACCAACAACTAGTGACCATAAGTAACCAATCACTTGAAAATGTAGAACATTTCACATATCTTGGAAGTGTGGTGTCCATACTGGGATGAGAAGGGGAAGACATACAGTCACGCTAGAGAACAAAGCTAGAGCTGCATTTGGAAGGATGAGGCGAATCTGGAAATCCAACAGTTACTGCAGAGGAACAATACTCCGCCTCTTCAAGAGTATCATTTTGCCAGTGCTTCTTTATGGAGCAGAATGCTGGGGAATGACCAAAAAGGATGCACACAAGCTGTCCACCTTCCAACACACATGTCTACGTAGAATTATCGAAATTTTCTGGTCATATACAATCTCAAACAGAGAACTGATGACAGTATGTTAGGTTTAAAAGAATTACAGCATGAAAATATGTTATGTTGAATTTTGAATTAAGAATCAACATCTTAGCACTCTGGACACCCCCATAAGCGTTCCGTCCCCATCTTCAGCAGAAAACGAAGAGTTACAATTCCCTTGGTGTCAGTAATTGTCTAAATGTACATCTGTCTCGCCTTTATCCTAAGTGCTGAGTGTCTGCCAGATCCCCTGGTAACTCTGAGCAGCTCAATTCTCCACAGACCGTAATGATCTTTTGCTGAATTAAATTAAATTAAAATAATTAAATTAAAATAATTAAATTAAATAAATGTACTAATGTGAAGGGAGACTAATGTGATTTGTATGTTATATTTGTAAGATATGTTTGCTGATAACAAATGTCAACATAATAATGACAATTTAAAATACCCTTATATAGGTCACACAACTGTTAAGGAAATTCATTTTTTTTTTCAGTATAGGAAAAAAACACCCACTGAAATGTTTGTATTGTAGGAGGGGGTAATAGGGGTTGGGGGGGGGGGATATTTACATGATCGTCTATTCAAAAGACAAGACCAAGTCTACAAACCAGCTGGTTCAACCTACATGTTCAGAAACTTAGTCATGCCCACTTTGGCCAGCTTTTGTGGCGGTTTCCATGAGGAAGAATAACAAACGCGAGACACACATTGGCTTTAGAGCCAATTTTTGCATTCCGCACTTATCCAGGAGAGCCAGGGTTGGTGCTCTGTGTAAAACATACTTTAGGACTATGTGGAGATACACGTGGAGCTAATTTGTTTTCTTCAGCGCTAAATAAGGAGTGCTTGGGGTGAAGATCTCATAGAGCTAGTCTTAGTCATACGAAGGCCCGACTGAAGACAATATTTATTGTCAGCTCAGTGAAATAAAGTGTAGCTACGAGATGGAAGAATTTACACGTCGAAAACTAAGTACCCATCTAAAGAACCTGTCATATCTTTAGCGAAGATACAATTGTATAGTGGTGAAACCGATTTACATCATTACTTTGTCTCAGTATTGTAATTACTGATGTTCTCATTCGTTGGTAAATTCGCTCATTACCTTGAAAATAAGGACAACTACTAAACATAAATGACATGTGAGAGTCTGGGTGGGTAGCCTCCATTCCTTATTATAATGTGTGTATGAATAGATCGAGTGCAGGATGCCAGCTCGAGGCAAACGTGTAAGTTAGTCGAAGCATGCGAAGAGATAGAATTGTGAAAGCATGAGTGAAATTTTGAACGCACGAGAACGACAAAGAGTTTTTTCAAGCTTTGGGTGAATAAGACTAATCTGTTTTGTTTTCGATGGGGTCTTGTGGCGGTTGAAATGCCCGAAATGAACGTATCCTGTGAAGAACAAGTGATTGTATTGATCGATAGAAATATCGTTGGAGTAATAAACTGAGTCGTTATCCGCTATTCAGTGTTTCTCTATATGTGTTTGTGTTTAAGTTTACTGTGTTGCAGTCTCTGTCAATGTGTCGCAGCAAACTACATGATTAGAGATGACTGTATAGTCATTACACGCTATATTTGATAATATCGGGTATGCTGGACCAATAAGTGAATATATCGTGGTCTTGCTGTAAGTCCTAAACAATGTCTCAACCAACCCTCCATGGCCGAATGACAAAGAAGTATGACGTGTCTACAACAGTCGTGCAACTAGAACTGTTAGCATGTTAACCCTACGTAAAGCGGAGACTTATTAAAGATACCTTTATGCGATAATGGCTGCTCTGAAATCAGTTAAGTGATCATCAGTAAGTGATCATCAGTTAAGTGACCATCAGTTAAGTGACCATCAGTTAAGTGATCGTCAGTTAAGTGATCATCAGTAATCACATGTTAGTCAACTTACCCTGTTAAATAGCCCACTGAATTGCCAGTGAATTCGACATTAGCAACATCAGGGCCGCATATTTTGCTGGACGCATACAGCGGATATTTGGAGATAACTGCCTTCAGTGTCTTGAAGTTGGCGGCCAGAGTTTCGGATTCAATGGTAAAGCCGAAGTTGCCCTTGTAAGCATTTGGCTCTGTCAAGAAAACATTTGGATATTTGACAATTATGCTTCTCGGACCAACTCAGGATTAGTGTTCCAGCCTCAGTTTCGTTTCCAGAGGAATTCCCCCTCCCACCCCTCCCCCCAACCCTCCTGTTAATTTGATCTTGGCTTCCAGTTAGACTCAGCCTAAAAGGTGGGTAAAGGTAATGTCCTGGAAAGTAAAGGCTCTCTTTGTGATGTTTACTACATTCCCGCCTGAGTGGTCTATAAAGTTAGTTGCGTATCCTTTACAGGACGTTGCAGAACCAACCCTAACAGCCCCTGGCGGTTGTGTGGTTTCTCTAGGCAATTTACATCCAGTAGTTTGCCATTGCTTCCTGGACGGTCGGCTTTCTTGATACCACTGTCGAAACCAACGCAAGGCGCATTGCCCGCATCTGGGATCGAACCTGGCATCCCGGCATTACGAAGCGAAGCGTTCACATCGACTTAGCCACAGAGCCGACGAGTGGTCTATACAAAAATGAATATAGCGTCATACGCCCTATGGACACACACATAACACACATACAAGAACACACTTATTTATATGTATGATATGCCGTGCAGGTAAGCATGTGCTCTAATGTTTCACCGCTCCCGCGATCACCAGAATAAAGGATCAAATCTCTGTTCTTGTCTCACTCTCATCCATTAGGCTAAGTTCTCCAACTATTTATCTCTTTTTGTTCCCCTTGCTCTCCTTCCGACTATGAACTAACCAGAGATACCTGTAGATCGTTGCTTGAGCTGAATTGCGACACTTTGTACAGCTTCAAGCCGATCGACGGAGAGAGATATAGCCATAAAATAGATTATCTGAAGAAAGAATCTGATTTAAGAATTTAAATACTGTATAGTGAATTATCGTGACGGAAATTATAATATATACAATTAACAATGTACCTTTGCTAGATGCTGAAGATAGGAACGGGGTGTCTATGGAAATGCCCTGAGTGATGCGAAACAGTTCCTTAATTTTGAATCTTACATATTAGGTACATATTAGCTGAACTCCGCTACGCAGATGACACAGTCCTCCTTTCGAACATCGTAAAGGGAATATACAATTTAATAGTGTCCGTCCAAAAGCACAGTGAAGATCAAAATCTGTTCTTGAATTTAAAGAAAACGAAAATAATGTCCACAGATAAAACTGGCTGTCACCCAAAAATAAAAATAAATGATGAAGAAATTGAAAATGTCACAAACTTTGAATATCTAGGCTCTATAATAAACAACAATGGAGACTGTTCGACAGAAATTAAAAGGAGGATGGGCATAGCAATGCAAATATTGAACAGCCTTAAAAGTCTATGGTTAAGCACCAGCAAGGAGATAAAGATTAGAATTTTGAGAGCATGCATCTTTCCTGTGGCTACATATGGATGTGAGTCGTAGACTATCTCTCAGTCCTTAAGAAAAAAAATAGGGGCCTTTGAGCTGAAATGCTATAGAAAGATTCTCAGAATATCTTGGACAAAGAAGATGAGAAATATTGACATCTTAAAAGATCTGAACATCAAGGAACATTAGCTAATAAACAGCATCCTTTCTCGAAAGCTGAAATATGTTGGTCATATCAAGCGCCATGACGGATTGGAAAAAAATTATAGCAGAATGCATGGTACCAGGAATAAGGGGCAGGGGCCGATCGACACGAAGATGGGCACAGGATATAAGTGACTCCTTGAGTGTGAATGAGAACTCGCAAGAGACCGAGTTTCTTACAGGCAGACTGTTATGAGAGCGACGTTCTGCAAAGGACCTGCTACATGATGATGACATATTAGATTTGCTGCAGAAAGTACATGTTGAAAGACCCTTTCGTGTTACTGGCCCCTGAGGAACAGGTTCCAATACCATATTTTTATATAACAACTGGCAATTGATAAACTGACGGGCTAGCATGCCAACACATGCTTTCACTTGTTATTATATTATAATGTGGCCGCATTAGGTTGGTTCAAACCAGAAACCAAGATCAAAATACACATCTGCCTATTGGATTATAAAAGTGCCAGCTTAACTGCTCCAATGATAATTCTATGTGTACTTAGTCTTTTTTTTTCGGCGATTGCTCAGGAGTTGAAATGCTGATTATTAAAGTAGATATAAAAAAAAAAAAAAAATGGAAAAGATAAGAATTTATCAGAGAGCGGACGTTTGCAGATGATGCAGCAATTACTATCCACTCAGAGGAGGAGCTGCGATGTTTGCTTTCTGCATTTGCTGATGCGTGCTGTGAAATTGGACTAACAATCAGCAGAAAGAAGACAAAGGTTATGGTACAAGGTGTTAATAGACCTGCAGTCTACATTGATGGTGAAGGGCTGGAGAAAGTTGACAGTTTAACTTACCCGGAATCCACCTTGAATAAAAAAAAAAAAAAACTATTGCGGGACCACAAGATCAACAACAGAATGGGTAAGACAGCAACAACAATGAGCAGATTATCACCCCGAAAAAAAAAATTTAAACAAAAACTCGCCTTTCAGGCTTGTGTTCTCAGCACTCTGCTTTATGATAGTGAATCTTGGTCAACTTATTCGCACCAGGAGAAATGGCTAATTAGCTTTCACTTACGATACCAATTAAAAATACTTGGCACTAAGCCGCAGGACAGGATCACAAACACTAAAGTATTGAAAAGAGCAGGTATTAAAACAATTTCCTCAGTGCTCAGTCTACGAAGACACAGGTGTCTAGGTCATATCTGGAGAAGGGAGGATGGCAGAGTCCCTGAGGACATCCTCTATGGTGAATTAGAATGAGAGTCAAGAACGAAATGACTGCAGAAAGGATGAGGGTTGAGCTCTAAGAAAAAAAAAAAAAACGCTAAATACAAGTGTTGACAACAACGGTCTTGTAATCCCCTGTTTTAAATGAGGAAAGCTTTTATTAACGTGGGCGGGGCTTGCTAGTCACAATAGTCATCGCCATGGGCTGTGAGTCCCACGCCTCCTCATAGCACAGTATTACACTATCGTCTGGAAAAACAGAAAAAATGCCTATTTAACCACATGAGATTAAACACTATATGGGGGAGCAATTTAACCTAATAAACCTAATTTAAAAACCTAATATGTAAAAAGAAAGAATATAATGAATGAATAAATAAATAAATAAATAAAAAAAAAAAAAAAAATAAATAAATGATTAATGCTATTTCGTAAAATATAGTCGTATTTAAGATAGCAGGACCCAGAAAAAAAAAATATAGCTGGGAGCTCTAAAGAAATCGCGGTTGCAAACATCGGCATCTTTTGGTGCATTGTCACTGGGGTTTAGGATTAAACCTAGAAACAGATAAGCTTGGTGGTCAGTTGGAGAGTTACACCCAGCTCATATATAGAATGATCTCAGATAGACCGGACAATTACCTGAATCCAGCAATAATCACATCTGCAGCCGTAACTAGATTACAAGCTTGGCACATCAAAGAAAGCGATGTCAAAGAAGAGCGTTAAACAAAGGGGGAAAGTTGCAGACCAAAACATAACCTGAATAATAACTGAATGGTTTGATTTGCAACAGAATATGTCAACTAACTAACTACAGTGTAATTGTATATTACCATTGCCTAACTGGAAGTGTGAAATATTGATCCCTTTAGCCGATGAGTCATTGAGAAGCTGTTCCAAGTTTGTTGTATCCCAGGTCCCAGACGGTGTCCACTTGAAGTTGTTGACGTCGAACAACAGATCCCAGTTGGCTTTCTTCAGGAATGACGTGAAAGATCCCCACGTGTATGCTAGAAGAGAAGCGTAAACAGTCTGTTGGTCAACACATTCTCTATCACACAACTGACCCAGGGCTAACATTCTACCCGTTACATGATCAGATCACTGTTATCATATCCCTGTTATTATGTCACTTTTACCATGGCATATTGTATCACACTTATAAAGTGAACAAGGTCTGTCAGTCGTACACTATTTCGACACACTCAGTAATGTATATTCTTTTACTTTTAAAGCTATACAATCAATCCCATCACACGTACACAACCACATACACCCAATGAATTATTTTATCACCTGTACAAATTAAACAATAGAGTCTAACCCCGCATACTACACATCTACATTGAAAGAATTATTATATCACTGGCATAAATAAAATATTCTGCAAAGTATGTACAACATAAAGGCACCACTGTTGCATATTATATAACATGTATGAACCAAACAATATATTCTCTCTCTCATTGTCTCTCTCATTCTCTCTCTCTCTCTCTCTGTCTCTCTCTCTCTCTATCTCTCTCTCTCTCTCTTAGGCATTTTTTGATAAGAATGTATAAATAACCTTAGCCGAATTAAAATGCAGTAGTTTTTGGAGCGGTTATAAAATACGGCCTTTATATATATATATATATATATATATATATATATATATATATATATATATATATATATATATATATATATACAGAAACTCTCTTCCGTGATTATTACTAAATAAGTGTACAATTTGGAAATACTTCACGCGGTTTCATGACTGAACTGAGACACCTATCTCAGTCATTGTAGCCATCATATGCTACAAGAGGTTACATATACTGACAACAAGAAGCAGCCATAAGGATTGAAACCACGTTGAAACTTTTCAAAATATATAACAAAGCGTTAGACATGGATATGTACTATCACCCGATTGATTCATTCTGTAAAGTAAAACTAGCAGTACCCTCCACGCTTAGCTGTGGCTCAGTCTAGCGAAATGGGAAAACAAAAATAAACGCGCACGTGTCTAATTTGTTTATTATCTGCGCTGATATACAGATAGTCTGATATGACGACTCTAGAATACGCAGCATAAACGTGTCTTATAGAAGTGGTGGTTTAAACTGTTTTATTAGGACTCCCAAAAAAAAAAAAAAGTTTTAGAACTTGAAAAGACTGTATGTTGCCTGCAAATAAGCTACAGGGGGACGACACAAATAAAAACAATGCATTTATATTTACGACATAAATACAGATAAAATTTTGCGCCGGTACTCAAATGTTCGCAATACTACCAGGGGATATGCATTCATTGAATGAAACTGCCTGTTTCCTGTTTAACAGTAATGATTACAGTAGATTACTAACAAATTAAAGCTAACGTCCATTATTTCTAGCTTTCTAACATGAAGATTTTTCTGAAGTTTAAAAACACACATCCCCCATATTGTGTCTTTGTTAGTATTCTTATACACGTTTTCTATCATGCTGGGTAAGGCTGTATAGCAAAAATAATATGGTCGAAACCCTGAGTGATTTTTGATTTTCTGAAATTAGTTTGTTGTAATCTAGATGTTGAAATGTTATTTTATGAATGGGTTTTCCTAGCATTATTCACGGTTCTCCTTATTCTTGTAGACCAAACGATGAGACGTTGGTGGTTTTCCCGCTCAATATGCTTCTATCTAAAGTACTTCAAACAACTTCTGACAGATTTTCTTGCCTGCCATGCCGTAAGTTAATTGCCTTGAAAACACTTGAGAATCTTAGTTTAAACTTCTGTGATCACACTCATTCTCTCCATCGGTGTCATACTTCTAAGTGATTCTCTAAGTGTATTAGTAAAAATACAAAGAGGGAGGGAACGATCAAGAAGAAGACGCATTGATGGAGTCACTGATACTTTGAAACTCTATAACATCACACGATACCGGGGCAAACCAGCGTGCTGGCTCGACAACCATCATATTTCAACCTAAGACGTCTGGCGCTACATAAAATTGGACAAAAGAGGTAATAAAGGTAAATTTATCATATAGATTTAAAGCAACAACACTAATGACATTATTCACCTGTAAGGTAAAAAGCTGTGTCCTCAAGCATGGATTCATCATCCTCATCAACGTCCTCGTCGATATTACAGTTATTGGGTGTCCCATGCGAACTTGCAGCTGGATAGTAGGTCATGAAGTTTGCGGATGTGCCTCCAAGCCGAAGCTCAAGGGGTGCCAGTGCTGCTGCCAAGTTAATCATTTTCTGCGACCTGAGATATTTGTTAGAAATAGAAAATCATACACGTTGTATACGAACACAGCTCAGACATGATACACTCTACTCTAGCCTTCGATGTGAAAACATTCTCTGCGGTCAGAAAAGAACGAGAAACAGGAGTGACCAAAATATATAAGCAGACTGCAATAGGAACCTTACAATCAGAACTCAGTGTTGGCTGTTAAAGTTAGGAACAGAGCGTTTAAATGTATGATTCAAGTTTTATGGTGCAGAATCTCGACTTGAATAATGAACAGGTAGACACGAATTCTCCACCACCCTGAAGCTAATGGTAGACTGTTAATAATTTCTTTCCACACCACCCCGTTTTGCGCATCAGTGGTTTTCCTAGTTAATTTATAATTCCGTAGTTTACCATTTGCTTTTTGGATGGTGACGCTGGAAATCATCACAGAGGGATCTGTTGCGAATTACATGCCAAATCAATGCAGCTGAATTTGAGCACTGGTATACCTGAAGTATGAAACCAATGTCACAAGCTGTCAGCTTTAGGTATCGACAAATAAGGTAGGCAACATCTTCAGGCCAAATTAGTACTCAGGAAGACAAGGGCTGTGGATAAACTATGCCTAATACGTCATTCTTTAAAATGAATTGACGACCACGTTTAGAGAAGTAAACACTGGGGCACACTGAATGCGATACAGCAACTGAGACCTGCAATTTTGATGCTACCAAACTAAAATCACAATAACCCCTTGCTGAAGAAACAAATTTACTATGCACTCTTGAAATGAAATCATTGTTTTTGCTGTGAATCATGCACAATTAATAAAGCAGCCAAACGATTTCTTAAGTCGTCAGAGATGCGGTTTTACAGAAGAATACCGAGAATTCAATGGACATCCACAAAATAACACCCCTGATGTTTCGAAACAGGTGAGGGCTAGAAAACAATTTATCACAAACATCAGAAATAAACATCACATATTTCTGGCCGTCTTATGAGAAAGGGGGAACTGGAAAATGATGCGGCCACTGTGGAAAGAGAGATTGAGAGAGAGAGAGAGAGAGAGAGAGAGAGAGAGAGAGAGAGAGAGAGAGATTGAAAGAGAGAGAGAGAGAGAGAGAGAGAGAGAGAGAGAGAGAGAGAGAGAGAGAGAGAGAGAGAGAAAGTAAGAGGAAGACAATGCTAGAAGATTCTTGCAGCCAGTCTTTTGTCATGACATGGAGGGCTGTCAACAATGATCTGATACAAATATTTGCAGATCGCAAAATCTGTTACATTATAATTGATCCATCTATCTCTGATCGTTACGTTGACAGCCCCCCCCCCCCCCCCCCCTCTTCCCCGACATCTCTTCAAAAGGTGAGATTATATAACATTTTGCGTGCACGATAAATAATAGAATGACACCTGTCTCTGGCATTTATGAAATTGTTCATAAATTGCTCATTGACACTTCGATGAGGTACAAGGTGGAAGAGAGGAAGAAGACGAAGAAGAAGCTCATAAATGAATAATCTTGAAAATGCACATGTTTATTGAAGACAGTTACCCTAAAAAGTTAATTCCCACACGTTTGGAGCCGAGCGCAACACTCAGATACTTGGCGTCGATCTCATGGATGCTGGAGTTGACGGCAATGGTAATGTTATTGGCTACTGAACCACACGCCTTTGGTTCATCAACATTAAAAATGTACACAGTGTTGGCGTGTGACGTCTGAAGCTTGCAACAATACACAGCCAGCAACAGTAGGTGCTTGAGACAGTCCATCTTTGTTGTTGAAGTGCTGTCTTGAAAGTCAAATACAAAGCAACAGTTAGCGTGATCAGAGTAATAGGAGTAGCACAGTAGTAATAATAGCAGTAGTAATAGTAGAAGTAAAAGTGTTGAGTAGTAACAGCAGTGCTGATGGAATTGCAGCTGAACTTTTAAAAGAAGGTGGTCAAGCATTATGTGTAAAGATATATGAATTAATAAAACTAGTTTGGGAGATTGAGAAATTACCCCATGTATAGAAAGTGTCTTAATTAATATAATACACATTTTAAAGAAAGGAGACAAGTATAAGTATGAAAATTAAAGAGGAATATCACTATTATCTGCATCCTATAATAATATATTTTCGGCAGTACTGCTAAACAGGGTAAAACCATGTGAACACACAGGACAGACAAGTAAAGAAAGAACTGCACAAACTCTTGAACACACAGGGCAGACTAGTAAAGAAAATGTTGCACAAACACTTGAAAACACAAGGCAGATAAGTAAAGAAAGAATTGCACAAACTCTTGAACACACAGGGCAGATAAGTAAAGGGAGAACTGCAGACACTCTTGAGCACAGGGTAGAAAAGTAAAGAAAGAACTGCATAAACTCTTGAAAACACCGGACAGACACGTAAAGAACGAACTGCATAAACTCTTGAACACACAGGGCAGACAAGTAAAGAAAGAACTGCAGACACTCTTAAACACACATGACAGACAAGTAAAGAAAGAACTGCACAAACTCTTAAACACACATGACAGACAAGTAAAGAAAGAACTGCACAAACTCTTAAACACACATGGCAGACACGTAAAGAAAGAACTGCACAAACACAAAACACACATGACAGACAAGTAAAGAAAGAACTGCACAAACTATTTAACACACATGGCAGACACGTAAAGAAAGAACAGCACAAACACAAAACACACATGACAGACAAGTAAAGAAAGAACTGCACAAACTATTAAACACACATGGCAGACACGTAAAGAAAGAACTGCACAAACACAAAACACACATGACAGACAAGTAAAGAAAGAACTGCACAAACTATTAAACACACATGACAGACAAGTAAAGAAAGAACTGCACAAACTATTAAACACACATGGCAGACACGTAAAGAAAGAACTGCACAAACACAAAACACACATGAAAGACAAGTAAAGAAAAAACTGCACAAACTATTAAACACACATGGCAGACACGTAAAGAAAGAACTGCACAAACTCTTGAACACACATGACAGACAAGTAAAGAAAGAACTGCACAAACTATTAAACACACATGGCAGACACGTAAAGAAAGAACTGCATAAACTCTTGAACACACATGGCAGACAATACACTTCTAAACACAGGCATAACAATAAAGAGGATAGTGGGGAAAAAAATCTCTTTAACATACAGGACAGAAAATTCAAGCGATCGGTGAGCAATAGAAAACACGCTGAAATAACAAGACTTACGATATGAGAAGGTCTGTATGTACAACATTGGTAGGCTCTACTCACCAAGTCCAGGTATCAGGTGAAACGTCGCTGGGAAGATCTTCACACGGGTGGAGAAACAACCAGAAGAATTTCTGGTCCTTGTGGAAGAATAACCAGGCCAGCCTCTTATATAGTCGACAAGTTCAGTTATTAAGTTCCGTGCTATTGTCTACTACTGAATCAAAACATAGTATCGAAAAGATGAAGTCTCAATTGAGAACATTGAACTTTTAGAGGTTTATGTTGCCCTGTTCAAGGGGGATCTAATACAAAAGTCTCCCAAACAATAATTCTACTAATAATTAAAATTAACTAGGTCACGGAAACAGTAGACCCCTGTCCTGCAGGTCTATTCACAAACAAGAATGACTTATGTAGTAGCACTCAATCGTACGCCATCAGCCACAGACTTGTTGCGAACAAGTGAATGCCAGTTTCAGTCACTTGAATAGATCATTGTTATAGGATTTGCAAGCAGTGCAGTTTATATTTGACTACTGGCATCGGAAAGCAACGACAAATCTTCCGAAAGATAGACAACATAGGAAGTTTGTTGAGTATGGTGTTTTAGCAACGGTATTGATTGCATATTGGTAGATTAGTAAGGACCCCTTGGTGAATAAAGGAGAAGTGTAACAATTTTGTTGTTGTTTTTGGTACTTACACCAAGTGAGCTCGTGTTTTGACTTGCCAATTGTTTGCTTTAGTGATTCTCAAATGCCTGAGAATAGTCTGCACCCGGTTGCTTTCAACAACAATACAGCTGGATAAGATATCGAGCTCAGAGGACAAACTCCGTATCTCCGAGGATGATTATCTTTTCCCTTTCTCTATCTGATGAGTGTCATCTGGGAAACAAAACAGCCTTAGGAAACATACAGACACAGGAAACGAAACAAACACACATGGAAAACAAAAAGATATGGGAAACAAACAGACATGGGTAATAAACAGACATGGGAAACGAAACAGACAGACATGGAAAACAAACAGACATGGGAAACAACCAGATATAGGAAACAAACAGACATTGGAAACAAACAGACATGAGAAACAACCAGCCATGTTAAACAAACAGACATTGGAAACAAACAGACATGGCAAACAAACACACATGGGAAACAAACAGACATGGGCAATAAACAGACATGGAAAACGAAACAGACATGGGAAACAAACAGATATGGGAAACAAACAGGCATGGGAAACAAACAGACATGGGAAACAACCAGATATGGGAAACAAACAGACATTGGAAACAAACAGACATGGGAAACAAACTGACATGGGAAACAAACAGACATGGGAAACAAACAGATATGGGAAACAAACAGACATGGGAAACAGACATGGGAAACAAACAGACATGGGAAACAAACAGACATGGGAAACAAACAGACATGGGAAACAAACAGACATGGGAAACAAACAGACATGGGAAACAGACAGACATACGGACAGTCTGGCTTAACATCATTTGATTGTAACGGGTGCAATACAGGCTAGTATGGTCAAGGCCAGTAAATAAAAAAAGAGGAAAACTCGTTTTTTACGCTGTACGCGATTTTGGGTATATGGGAAAAGCACCCACCCATATTTTTACGGACCAATCGGTACTAGGTGGGTAATGTTTTCAGCATTACGCCGGCTGTCTTTCCTTTCCCAGGACATACATCGTGGAACCCATTTAAGGCTGGGTCAATCATGCCCTATACCATGATAAAAATCCACACAGTCAGCAGTGGGTTTCGATCGGGGTACTTTGGAATTACGAGTCGGACTTGCAACGCCTATGCCACGGAGGCCACCGAGTGAATAGTACATAACTAGAAATAGACCATGACGGGCAGGTGATACTAATGCAGTTGGGAGTAATAAGCGAATCTGGCAAAACGCTCAACACTCCGGACAAACACAAGCTGGACATCTACTTATTTGACACCATCGGGATTGGAATTCTTCGCTGGTTGTTGAAGGTGAAGACAGGCGTCTATAGAAGTGTCTATAGAGTGCTGTGATGCGGATTTTCTGCTCATCTCAACTCCTTCACCAAAACTTCACAAAAACATTTTGTGTGTGTTAAAGTGTATCTCTCTTTACATCATCAATACAGCTTAATTGTATCGATTTCTGCCTGCATAAAATGCTGGACATTTTATAGTTTGTTACCGCAATCAATGTTATAGGACATTGAGATTGCCATGCATGCCCAACAGTCTGCTGCAGCTGTCAACTCAAGAGACTTCAACTGATTGTTTCTATGAGAGATCAGTTTTGTTAAGTCTCCGATTGTGACCCTTAGGGATAGGAAGGATTGGAAGGCCTGAGTTCGGGTACTGGCCTACAAGACTTTTTTTTAAAAACTTAAATTTGGCACCCTGTCGACCCTTTAGTGGGTATCAAGCACAATCCTGGAAAGTAAAGGCAGCCGGCGTGATGCTGACCACGTCATCCACCGAGTGTCAATTGGACTAGAAAATATGTCTGGGCCTATTTGCCCAATACGCCTGAAAAGGGTTCTTTGCTTTTACTTTACTAAGTAAAGTTAAAAACAGGCACAAGTTACGCCCTTAGTGACTCGTACATGTGCTGCTAGATTCACATGTTTATCGACTATTAAAATCACAGAAGCCTCGTTTGTGGCCATAACATTTCCTGACACGCGTGTTTGGGTCTGCTCGATCTGCGAGCCCTGTGTAAAGTTACACATTCATATAATGCGCACTGGAAGTCAGTTCCTTAGGGCTAACAGGGAAACGTTTAGCCACTGCGCTATCACTTCCTTCCAGCAGCCTAATGGCAGTTTATTTCACAAGACAGCTAATTTGTGATGCAAGTTTGGCTACGTTGTTCGTGTTCTGCGCGTCATACCATCTTTAGCTGTAGTCTTGTAAAGTAAGACATGCACACACAGCAGCCGGGTAAATGAGAATCACTGAGGTAAAGATAAAGACAAAGAAAAAGAACTTTGGGACGTGAGTGCAAGGACTGGCCAACTGATGCTTCAGAATCAGAAGTTTAACAAATGATTCATGAAAATTCCCTCCCAGATGATGTGATTGTCTATACAGATGGCTTTGTGTTGAGGGGCAAACGAAGTTCAAGGGGGTTTTTAGCGAAGGCGAATGGATGTCGCTTGGTGAAGCAAAGCCTGGTATATGATACCACAACGTTTAGTTTAAAAATAAAGATGGAGGCAGTCTCTGCCAAGTTCTGTTGGCTTGAGAATCAGATGTAGCTGTACACACATGCCTTCATTGTAACTGCCTTACAGAGCATGTTGAGAAAGGTTGAGACAAACATGCTTCGTGCAGAGTGGCAAGCATAAATTCAAAGGTCCCGGATTGTTAGCATCCTTTAGATATTTTCTTCAGGTCATGCTGGTGTGCTGGTAAATGAGCAGGCAGATAGACTGGCCGGTGGGGACTTAATGTATGACAAGCTTGATGTTGTGAGCCCCCTTTTAGAGCAAATGAGCCGTGCCGAGACACATACTGATCAATTCGGTCTGAGGAGAAGGGCAATGCGAGAAGTTACAAGAGGTCTGGCCGACGCTCGACACTCAGGGGACAGGCGAGACAGATATAAAATCAGACAGTTACTGGAACCCTCGTAATTTTAACTCCTCGCTTGCTGCTGAATATGAGGAGTGTCTCGAGTGCTATGAGGTCGATTCTTAATTCAACAT